GCGCCACTTCCGGCTTTTTTCTTTTTGTTTATGTGGTTCTGAGGAATCGAACCCAGGCCTCAGGCATACAAAGCAAGCACTCTACCACTGAGCCACCTTGAGACCCAGAAATACAACAAATCAAAGAAAGGTTGGACAAATGAGATTGCATGAAGTTTCAGAGCTTCTGTATAGCAAAGGACATAGCTAGCAAGATCAATAGAAAGCCCACGGATTTGGAGATCTTCACTAGCCATACAACGGACAAGGGTCTCATATCTAAAATATACTTAAAACTCAAAAAAATCCCCCAACAACAATTCCTCAAAGAAACAACTGTCCAGTAAATAAGTGGGCTAACGACTTAAAGAGAAACTTGTCTGAAGAGGAAAGAAGGATGGCCGATAGGCACATGAAGAAATGCTCAGCCTCTCTAGCCATAAAAGAAATGCAAATCAAAACAACATTGAGATTCCACCTCATGCTAGTTAGAATGGCTATAATGATGAACTCCAATAACAACAGATGCTGGAGGGGATGTGGCCAGAAGGGAATCTACTGCATTGTTGGTGAGAATGTAAACTTGTTCAACCACTTTGGAAAGTAGTATGGAGGTTCCTCAAAAGACTCTGAGTTTCTTTTCATGCTTTGAAAAGCTTCTTATATCCTAATGTTACAAGAAAAAGTTCTGCTACATTTTCTTCTGGCACTTTATCATTTAACCACATTTGCATGTAAACCTTTATCCATCTGACATTTATTCTTTTTTTCAGTTTTTTTGTTATTGAGGTGAAATTCACATAACATAAAATTAACTACTTAAAGTGAAAGGGAAAAAGAATAATGAAGACTGAATCATTTTGAAATACATTGCAACTATGTAAACAAATGATATAAAGAAACACTGAAAGATGATGATCAATGGACATTTAAGAGTGGGAAAGAGAAAGCCATAGAGAGGGTTATGCTGATTAAAATACAATATATGCATAGCTGAAAAGTAAAAAATAAGTATGATCCTCACCTCTACCCCCTTTCTAATTATTCTTTTTGTTGTGATTTTCCTTGCTAATTCCTTATTTATCATTCCAGATAAACCTTTCATTCTTTTCTATCAATGACATAAATATTTAAGGAATACCTTCTTAATGTTCACATAAAAATTGTTGTTTTAATTTGTATTTAAGAAAATTGTCAGCCAGGCGCTGGTGGCTCACACCTGTAATGCTAGCTACTCAGGAGGCTGAGATCTGAGGATCGCGGTTCAAAGCCAGTCCGGGCAGGAGAGACCGTGAGACTCCTATCTCCAATAAACCACCAGAAAACCGGAAGTGGTGCTGTAGCTCAAGTGGTAGAGTGCTCACCTTGAGCTGAAGAGCTGAGGGACAGCGCCCAGACCCAGAGTTCAAGCCCCATGACCGACCAAAAAAAAAAGAAAAAAGAAAATTGTCAGCTGGGTGTGGTGGTGTCCCAAAACTTAGGAGGTTGATCCAGAAGGATAAGGAGTTGGAAGACAGCCAGGTCTTTTACAATTAGACCCTGTGGAAGGAAGGATGGAAGGAAGGGAGGGACGGAGGGAGGAAGGAAATCATGGAAGGAGGGAGGTAAGGGAGGAGGAATTGGTCTAGTGTCATCATCTCTCTAAGTGAACATCCATGTTCATTGTATATTTTTGTGCAGTAGTTGACCTATGATAATTTAGGAAATGAAGTTTCTCATTTTATTTTCTAGCTTTAAAATCTGAAGGGGATGATTACTACATTAACGGTGCCTGGACTATTGACTGGCCTAGGAAGTTTGATGTTGCTGGAACAGCTTTTCACTACAAGAGACCAACAGATGAACCGGAATCCTTGGAAGCTTTAGGTCCCACCTCTGAAAATCTCATTGTCATGGTAAATGTGTCTTTATCATTTTATTTGTACTATATTTTCTTCCCTCTTGTGAGGTGAGAAAAGGTCAGATTTTATTATGTCTGTTCTACTGGTGATGAAATCAAGGTAAATGCAAGTAATTTCCTCAGAATCTGTGCAGAGTCAAGGTATTTGCTCTTTCTATGTATCTGTTTTGTCTTTTGTTGCTTTCTTGAATAATATTTTTATATCCAAACAAAACAAATGAGAGAAATATTTCTAACCTCTCCATGAAAATAAGAGGAGGAAAAGAAAACTTATTGACTTATATCAGTTAGGTGAGGTTGGGATTTCATTGTTACACCTCCACATAGTTACACTAACTAATTTCATTCTCCCTTTATCACACCCAAAAAGGAGAACCAATTTAAAGTATATGCTTTTGAAAGCTATCTTGAGTTTGAGGCCAGCCTGGGCAACATAGCAAGACTCTTTCACAAAGACTGACAGATAGATAATAAGATACTTTTTAAATGTTTTTAAGTTTCCTATAAGACTTGCTATATAACGTTTTCTTCTTCAAAAGAAATAATAAATATCTGAGTGAAGGCTCATTGTATTCTAATTATCTTCACCAGCTGTTTTCAATGACAGGTTCTACTCCAGGAACAGAATTTGGGAATTAGGTATAAGTTCAATGTTCCCATTACTCGGACTGGCAGTGGAGATAATGAAGTTGGCTTTATGTGGCATCATCAGCCTTGGTCAGAATGCTCAGCTACTTGTGCTGGAGGTAAGACACCCACTAGGCAGCCCACCCAGTGGGCAGGACGGAAAGCAAAACATTCTCTCAGCTGAACTTTGTGTTGGTTGAAGAAGCTAATTGGAAACATTTTTTGCAGGTTTGCTTCAAGCTGTAATTTAGCAAAAGAAACTTTACTTTAATTGTATTATATTCCATTTGTTTTCAACCTCATGTAATTTATACAGATTTGTTGGTAAAATACATCTTGGCACAATGAGTGTCTCTGCCGGTGTTCTTCCTGACTATCTTGAAGGTGGGCTGCTTTTTGTTTTGTTTTGGTGAATATATTCTTCGTAAAGAACATAAATAGTTTTCCATAAGAAAATGGGCAAAACTCAGACATCACAGATACAGCTTCTAAGAGTGGGGGAAGAGAATGTATGTGTGCCTGTGTTTGTATGATGGTGTGTTTCCCACAATTCTGTACCAACTCCCTTCTCCAGCCATCAGAGTTAAGAGGCTACATAATGGGATGCTACAAATAATTATTGGTGTCTGGTTCTCTGGGCTAGTGGTGTATAACAATCCCATTATAACTCCTCAGAGAGATAGAAGTAGCTGCTAGGCAGTGGTTGGTGATATGTTGGTTGTCCCATGTGCGTTTTTCATGGGTGCCTTTTCCCCACAATTTACTCTATTCCTAATCCTCCTCCCTCTAGTGGCCACCAATGCAATTCTTTACCTCTGGCTGGGAGAGCAGGACAGTTGGCTTCCTTCAAAGCCAACACCCTTGCTGCTGCATGGACTGGTGAGTAGAAGTGCTGTGCAAGCAGCATCTTCCTTCTCTCTGGAGACTAATGCATCACCTCCACCATATACTTTGATCCCAATAGCCAAAGAAACAAACCGATTCCTCAGACCTAGTCTGGACTTGAACAACACCTCACCACTCCAAAAGCAAAGACTCACTATCCAGTAGTGATGATTAGAATGGGTGAAGTTGAAATTAAGTGAGCCATTCAATGTATTATATTCCCATTCTAAATTGAAGAAATGTGAATTCACATGGACTTTTTCTTCTCTTGTCCCATATTCACCGAGTCTCTAATAGCCTCTGATTCTTTGAGACTTGGAGAAATTATTTTCAGAGAAAGGATTAGCATATAACAGATTCCGTAATTTTAAGCTCATAAGAATTAAATCATCAATTTACTACAACTCCAATTTTCATAGTGAAGGCCATATAAAGATATCAAAAGAGCAAATGAGCAATGCTATGTTAATGTTCTCTTCTGTGTGAAATATCATACAGTTATATTTTTTAATTCTCTAATCCCTACCCATTTTACATGTGAAATGATAACTTATAATACAGTTTTAAAGACTATACTACATTACCATTTCTTTTAATAAATACAAAGTTCCTGCTAATGCCACTAATGAGTGTCCTCAAGTCCTTCATGGTTTATTCAAGTGAGTGCCACTGCTTTATTTTTTTAGCGGCATTTACATATATATCTTTGTTCTGACTGCATTACTTTTAGTTTGGATAAATTAACCTTCCCTCTTCCACATACCAATAAAAAGTCTCCATTAGAAGAGTTCATATAGAGTTCAGTCCTTGAGGTAAAGTGAGATAAACCTACTAAAGAAGAGTCCAAATAATTTAAAGTCTAGGAAATCCCAAAAGGCTAAAATTAGGATTGCTTAGCTTAGAGAAGAGAAGGCAATGGGGTAGCATGTTAGTGTCTTCAAGTGTGTGACAGAATGTTGAATGGGAAATTGTTAGAGCCTGTTCTTCTTTTTCTGAAATTGCTATATTTGGGGATGGTTTAGAGAGTCTTGTCTGAAGCCAAGGAGGGATTAAGTAAATTCTCAATGTTCTTTCAACCCTATGATTCTGTTTGTTCAGAGAGCAGATAGTATAACAAAAAAAAGGGAAGGGGTAGGGGGAATGCAATGAAATATTAATCTGAAAGGAAAATTATTATTTTATTTGAGTAAAACTTATGAGGAAAACCTAAAACGTTGGTGGTGATTCATAACACTTGTATTGAGAAAAATTACATCTGACTTCTTATGAGTCAGAACAAAACAAACAAACAAAAAACAAGGTGGGAGAAAAGCCCCTGGAGGAGCATTTTCTCTTCCTCATATGTATGTCTTTGATGCGGGAGCTTCTATCTTAGATATTTGAGGTACTTCTTGGAACCTAAAACCTGTTTGCTTGTGAGTGGTGATAAATATTAATTAGACCTTTAGCTCATTGCCTTCTTTGGGGGTGGGAGGTACAGTGATTGGAAGTTGTCAGATGTGGTATCATTTGGCTTGGTAAGTAGTTCTCAATGTAAGAACCCTAGACCATCAGCATCAACATCAACTGAGAAGTTATTGGAAATGCCAATCTGGGGACCCATTTCAGACCTACTGAGTAGGAGTTCTTAGAGTAAGGACCAAGAATCTATGATTCTGAGCTCACCCAAATTTGTGTATCATGGGTCTTGACTTTCAGAGAAACTGAACTCTAGCTGTTGAGAAACAGAACCCACAGCCTGACCACTGAAGCCTGTATATAACAGTAGATTTTTGCAGGGTAGAACAATATTTTAGGACACACAAGGCACTTAATGCGTGTTAATAGCCAGCCAATGAGTGAAAGGAATTAATTTCAACAAGTATACAACCTGAGAGTTTAGAATGCATAAGTAAATCAAAGTTCCTTTCTTTTGTTTTCTATCATTTTACTCAGAAGTAGAACTCTAGAAGTAGAACACAACAAAAGATATAGAACATCCTAGGGTGGGTATGCTAGTGTAAATAACAATTATTGAACTTCCTCTCAGTACATACACATAACCCTACTTTAACCATAGATTTTTCTAAGTAAGGAAGCTTATGTTTGAAGAATGAAAAGTCCCCTAGGACTTTGGAATTTAAATTGAAGGGAGATCCAGAGTCATTTCTCAGTAATGGTAAATGAAGCTTCAACTGCTTAAAATCCTCTCAAGAAAAAGTCATGTGTTAGCTGGGTGCGGGTGGCTCACACCTGTAATCCTAGCTACTCAGGAAGCTGAGATCTGAGAATCATGGTTCAAAGCCAACCCAGGCAAGAAAATTTGTGAGACTCTTACCTCCAATAAATCACCAGAAAACCAGAAGTGGCTCTGTGGCTCATGTGGTAGAACACTTGCCTTGAGCTGAAGAGCTCAGAGACAGTGCCTAGGCCCAGAGTTAAAAAGAAAATTGTATTTTATTTTTGGTCAAAAACTTAATGTAAATTTAGTTCATAATTGTGATATTCTATTTTTATCTCTCTAGGGAAGTTCTTGAGACTGTCATTTTTTTAAGTGCAGAAAGAGGAAAGCAAGAAATGAAAAAGAACTTTCTGTTTTAGTCAAAAAAGATACCTAAGGTTCTTACCAGCATACTCATTCTTACCCACCTACTTATACTGGTAAAATTAACGGCCTCTATATGTTCTATTAATGTCAAGATTGTTGAACTTGGAGTTTGGGGGCTGTAATGATAGCCTTTTCTAATAGAAAAAAAAAACTTAAGACATTTTCAGACTGTTTTTCTGTTGCTTAGCACACCCAATGACAAATCTAATATGCAGGAAACATTGGTGGTGATTCAGTACAAGTAATAGCCTTCTCTCTGAGTCAGTGATGAAACACTTCCTTTGGTTGATTGGTAACTTTGAGATGGTATGGTCTGTTGTTTTTAGGATAAATATGACTTTAAAGATACAGCTCTGACTCTTCCTCTGCAAGAAAATCCAATGAATCAAAACTTGCCTATTTTCAGAACCATTGATACTTCTACTGGAGTTTCTTTATCCTTCATTCAAACTATTGCATACTCTGTAATTCATCTGACTTGCAAATTTATGCACTACCATTATGAGGATTAGTGAGTAGAATGTGTTCATTGATAGAGTTTGGTTGAGAAATACAGCATTAAAAGTATTATTTTGAATAATAATTTATGCCCTTTTCAAGTTTAAAATAAAATTTGTATATTCATTCTTTGATCTTTACTCTTACATATCCCTGCCCCCCCTTTTTTACTGGTGTTTGGCTAGATGGTCATTCTCAAATTTTAGCATGCTTCAGAATTGCTAGGAGGGCTTAAAACATAGAACTAGTTCTGCTTTTTATTTTTGATTCAGCAGGTCTTGCTTTTACATTTCTAACAAGTTTCCAGGTAATGCAGGTTCTGCTGGTGAAAGCACAGTACTCCCAGAAACTTTGCTTGACAATAGGTTTCCTAAAATAAATACCTATTAAAGCAAAATGGCCAGTTTTTAAGGTAATCATGTATAATACAGTTGTAATTTATATAACCACTAGTCTTTTTGAATGATGGGTGGTCAGCTATAAAGTAATAAATAAATTGTACAGTTTACAAACATTTCTGATGCTCTGTCTCATTTGATTGTCCTCAACAACCACTAATATAGGCTTTGCTACTATTTTTCTTGTTTTGTAGGTAAATATCAAGTGAAATACTTTGCTGAAATCCACTTAGCAGTTGAGTCTCTAGTGATATTTTAATGTAACATTTGTCTGGTAATCCAAGCATTTCAAACACATGTATACAGATAGAACAATGCAACCCATTAAAGTTGTTTAATAAAGGGTCAAGAGGGAATGAAGACAAGTAATAAAGGGGATGAATTTGATCAAAGAACATGCATACTGGAGTGGAGATATATGAAACTTCTTTGTATGATTAATATATACTAATAAGAGAAAATATAAAAAAGAAGGGAATGTAATAGTCTCACTTTAAACAGAGCTCTTTTACCAGTTAGCAACTCTATATAGAGAAACATGCCCATTCCCACTAAATATATCTCCTTCACTAGCTTGAAAGTTTGTTTTTTCAAATGCTTTCCCTAGAAGTAATGTTAACTACACTGCATATTGAAAACACCTGGAGAACTTTAAGCAATTCTAGTATTTGCTTCCCGACCCCCAGTCTTATTTAATTGCTTGGGGCATCAGAATTTGAAAAGATCTCTGAGCAATTCTAAAGTGCAGCTC